CTGCCGAGGCGGCGGAGGAGGGGACACCTGAGAAGGGGCAGGCGGCAAGGACTGCATCGCAGGACTACCAGAGCCTGTAGAATCCTCAACCGGTACAACCGACGTAAGTGGGGTGACGTGGGACACACCAGAGGGGGCAGGACGGGGAGGGGGAGGAGGAGGGGCGGCGACGACCGGGGAAGGGGTGACCAGGAACAGGAGGGGGGTAACCGGGAGAACTCGGTGGGGGAAGCGGCGGAAGAAGGAGACGGAGTCGTCAAAGGTGACATCACGGGAGTGAAAGAACCTATGAGACGGCGGGTGGTAGAAGTGCCAGTCAGACGCGTCAAGGGGGAAGCCGAGGAAGACACAGGGAAGGGTGCGAGCAGTGAGCTTGTCCGTGCCAGAGGCACGAACGTGAGCAAGACAGCCCCAGACATGGAACGCAGACGCGTCACCTGGTGACCCAGACCAAAGGAGGGTCGGCGAAACCTGAGGCTGGGGGGGTGCGGCCACAGGTTAAGCTGGTGAGCAGCGTAGCGAACGGCGAACGGCCACAGAAAATGGGGTGCACCGGCATGGATCATGGAGGTGCGAGCCACCTCCATGACCAAACCGATGCGTCGCTCAGCGACCCCATTCTGCTGCGGGGAGTGCGGCAAGGTGAACGTCTCGGTGATGCCCTCCGCACGACAGGAACGACCAAGGACACCAAAGGCAAACTCGCCACCACGGTCGGAGTGGAGGCGCAAGACAGGGAGACCGCGACGGACACGCGCAGCGACAAGCCACGGGATAAGAACGTCAGGCACGTCGGCCTTCCGCTCCAGGGGGAACACAGTGGTGTAGCGCCTTTAGTCGTCGACAAGCACTAGGAAGTAGCGCTCTCGACGCGGCCCATGGACGGGGGCGGGGCCCTAGACGTCCATGTGCAGAGTCTGTAGCGGTGCGGCGGTAGGGGGAAACGAGGAGGAGTGAGGAGCACGGCGAAGCCGGCCCTCGACAGAAGGCGTGCAAGGTGGGGCAGGGGAGGAGGGAAACTCAGAGAACGACCCAGGGAGGCCTAGGACGAGACCGTGCTGTAACATGTGACGCAGACGCGGGAGCGAAGGGTGACCTAGACGGTGGTGGCACAGGAGAGTCGGATGGGTGAGTGATCGATAGGAGCAGGCACCAGCAACCCTGGTAGACGCTGCCACCTGAGGGGAGGTCCTAGCCGGCGGGGTCACAGTGTCCAGTGTGAACAATCCGGACACCGGGTCCCGGGGGAACGTGGTAAGGGGGGCACCAGTGGCGGCCTCGGTACAGACAGCGTACCGCTAGTGACCGGGGAACGTAGTGGTGACGCCAAGGTCCAAGAGGCAGCCGACACCAACTAGGTTCCTGGAGAACGAGGGGATGTGCAGGCCTGTGAGAGAGCCCGAAGGAACCGCCGGGCAGGGGAGGGTGGTGGAACTGCGGGCGACTACAGGGCCAGAGGAGGGGTCAGCCAGGGAGATGGCGGCAGGGACAGGAAGCAGTGTCAACATAGTGGAGTCGCGGAAGAAGCACCGGGAAGCGCCAGAGTCGAGGGTGAAGGAGAGCGCGGCAGTGGCGGCCGGAGGCGAAGTAGCGACAAAAGCACCAAGGCTAAACAAAGCAGGGGATCCTACGCCTGACGCAGCAGGGGAATCTAAGGAAGGCACACCTACACTAGGCAACAAGACGTAATAAGACGGAAGCATACTAGAGTCATCAGCATACATCATATGCAGAGCAGCAACAATCTCATCCATGTCCAGATAAAAAATCTGAACCCTACGACTAAGCAAGCTGTGCCAGTCTGGGAGCTCGGGCGACGGGCCGAAACGCTGACGAAACAGGTCGTCCAGGCAACGGAAACAGCAGACGGAGGTATGACCGATCTTACCGCAAACGAAGCCACGGCGAGGACCGGTCTGAAGCAGGTACTGACAGCGCGCGGCACCCGAACCACCACTCGGCAGTGCACCACGCGCACCACTACCACGTCCAGTTCTGCCACCAGCACCGGGCCACCCAGGCGGAAGACGACTCGTCCGCCTCTGCTGCTGCTGCGACTGCTGCGGCTGTGGCGACGGCTGCAGCTGTGGCAGCTGCGGCTGTTGCGGCTGGCGCGGGTCCGGTGACTGCTGAGACGGCTGCTCGGCTGCACCTGTCAGGCTCCCCGCATCACCACTACCACTAGGTGACCCAACTCCAGCACCACCTACACCCGCACCCCCACCTTCGTCTCCAGGTCCAGCCTTGGGGCGGCGACCCTTCCCCGGACGAACCTCTGCGGCAGCGGCAGTCTCAGCCACAGCAGCAGAACCGTCGGAGAAGGTGCACTGAGCGGGGGCACAACCTTGAAAGATAGGGACCGGCACAGTACCGCTGGTCTGAGCGATAGAGCGGTGGCGGGCCTCTATAGCGGACAGGGTGTCAACAAATTCAGTGAGGGTAAGGTCTACTAGGTGGACGCTACGAAAGCGGTCACGGGCAGTGGCAAGACGGTCAGGGAGGCGGGTGGCTAGCAGGTAGAGAGTACAGGAGAGGGGCGGCTGGTGGGCTAGAAGCTGTGTGGGGGTGCAGGCAGCACGCCAGGTCTCGTCTATGGTGCGCAGGTGAGCGGCCAGGTCGACGACAATGGGGAACGACGCAAGGTCAGGAAAGAGCATGGGGAGGATCAGACGATCGACCGAGGCAGCAGGGGGGGTGGAATAGCGCTGGACAACAGCATCTAGGAAAGCCTGGGCAGTGGTGATAGACCTGAAGCGAGGTCGCTCGGACAGGGGGAGGGCATTGCTAATAGCAAGCTGTGCAACAGCGTCACGGGACAGCCAGACAGAGCGAGCAAGGGCAGCGGCTGCAGCGGACTCACGCTCAGCGGACGAGGGGTCAAGAGAGAGGGCAGCGGGGGGGTCAGGGCAGGGGAGGGTACCATCAAGATGGACAGACAGCGAGTGGCCATCCTGCCGCTGACTAGTGAGATGGCGACGGAGGTCAGCAAGCCACGCATCAAACTCAATCAGCTGGCCCTCAGCGTCAAAGCAAAGCACCGCCGCCATGAGTGACAATAGAGGGCAGTGTAGAGTAGGACAGTACGGTGCAGTACTGTGCAGTGCAGTGTAGTGCGGTGCAGTACGGTGCAGTGCGATACAGTGTGGTATAGTGCGGTGCAGTGCGGTACAAAGCGGTGCAGTGCGGTACAGTGCAGTACAGTGCGATGCAATGCGGTGCAGTGCGGTACAAAGCGATGCAGTGCGGTGCAAAGCGATGCAGTACGGTACCGGGGGGGGTTCGGAGGGCGGTGCTGATCGGGAATAACGGGCCGAACCCGAGGCAGCAGCGGGCCAGCGACGGCGCAAATGCAGGGGCCGGCCGGCTGGCGGCAAGTAGACACGGCCGCGACGGCGGCCAGGGACAACCGCGGCGGCGGCCAGGGACAGCCGCGATGTCAGCCAGGGGCAGCCACGACGGCGGCCAGGGACAGCCGCGACGGCGGCGAGGGGCGGCTGCGACGGCAGGAGCGACTGTGAGGCGGCTGGAGACGGCAGCGGCGGCGGCTAGGGGCGGCCACGACGGCGAGGGGTGGCCGGGACGACTAGGGGCGGCCGAGGGACGGCAGGAAGCGGCCGCGACGGCGGCTAGAAGCAGCCGCGACGGCTAGGGGCGAGCTCAAACGGCCAGGGGGCCTGCGAGGAGCGGGCGCGAAACAGCCAGGGCGCCGGCTAGGAGGGGCTCAATGGCCAGGGGGCCGGCTAGGGACGGGCGCGAACGGCCAGGGGGCCGGCTAGGGGCGGGCGTGACAGTCAGGGGGGCCGGCTAGGAGCGATCGCGACGGGCAGGGGGGCGGCTAGGATCGATCGCGACGGGGAAGGGGCCGGCTAGGGGCGAGCGCGACAGTCAGGGGCCGGCTATGAGCGATCGCGACGGCCAGGGGGGCGGCTAGGGGCGATCGCGACAGCCAGGGGGCCGGCTAGGAGCGATTGCGACGGCCAGGGGGCCGGCTAGGGGCGAGCGTGACGGTCAGGGGCCGGCTAGGAGCGATCGCGACGGGCAGGGGTCCGGCTAGGAGCAGGTGCGACGACCAGGTGGCCAGTTAGAGACGGGCGCGACGGCTAGGGGGCTGGCAAAGGGCGAGCACGACAGCCAGGGGGCTAACTAGGGGCTGGCGCGAACGGTCAGAGGTCGGCTAGGGACGGGCGCGACGGTCAGGGGGCCCACTAGGAGCGATCGCGACGGTCAGGGGGCTGGCTAGGAGCGGGCGCGACGGCCAGGGAGCCAGCTAGAGACGGGCGCAACGGCCAGGGGGCCGGCTAGGGACGAGCGCGACGGCCAGGGGCCGGCTAGGGACAGGCGCGAACGACCAGGGGGGCGGCTAGGGACGAGCGCGAACGGCCAGGGGGGCGGCTAGGGATGGGCGCGAACGGCCAGGGGGGGCGGCTAGGGACGAGCGCGACGGCCAGGGAGCCGGCTAGGAACGTAGGGGCGGAAGCGTGAGCGGGCTAGGGGGGGATCTAACCTACTATGATACCATATCAGAAAGAAAAATGATTGAACTAGAATGTGTGTGTACAAGGATAAATAGACTAGGGTATTGTACCCTTTAAGGCACAATCCAATATAGTCTACAGTAACAACCTAAGTTATATTTGACAATAACACCCCTGCTCGCTGCCTGACCCCACTTTTTGCCTAGTCATGATTAATATTCTTGCATGTTTTGGGCCATCGGCTCTAATGCGTGTTGTGAATGATCAATGACTCTTGAGTTGCTGGAATGCAGCATTGGTGTAAATTACTGGAATTGCGTCTCAGTTTTCTTGAGCGGGGGACATCATGAGTACTACATGGCGTTAAGCGAAAAGGTTGGAAGGTGCGTTTTGTTTTCTGTAAGAAGGAACGCCACCTTCCGATTTTGTTCCGCTAATGCACCCCTGTGACTTAATCGTTTACGCGATACAAGCCCGTCCACATCACAAGCTGTGCCTTCCTCCTCCAACTCTCTGCTCCAGAGTCTCGAAGGCGCAAAGGCCACCCTTGCATGACCGCATTCTTGCGTCCTTCCTTGCCTCGCGCTCGTCCCGCGGCAATCCCAGTGCGAGCTTCGACGGGTGGCGTAGGAACGTTGCTCTTCTAGCAGGGGGGGAGAGTAAATCTCGTTTTGATTCTTGACAATTCTGGAAGTAATCGCGTTTCAGGGACAATCCTCAGAAAGGATTCAGAAAGGATTCTCTCTCTGAAGAGCTTTCTCGCGTTTCTCTCTGAAGGCCATGGCTGGCGACGAGGGCGTCGAAGCACGGCAGCAGGCAGCAGGCGAACGCTCTCACAGCCACGGGCACGGCGATCACGGGCACGGGCATGGACATGGGGAGCACCGTCACCACGGCCATCACGACCACGATCATGACGAGCATCAGCATCATGGGGAGGGACACGCGCATGGGGATCACCATCACCACCACCATCCCGCAACGTCAGTGGCTGCGGCGAGTCAGTGTCAGCATTCTCGCCGCTGCCGTTCGTGCCACACTCGCTGGGCGTCTCTTCCGCTTCCCGCTTCCCGCTTCCCGCTTCCCGCTTCCCGCTTCCCTCATCCGCTTCCTGCACCTCTTTCCGCTCATCCTTTCAACGGATGTCTCTCGACCCCCCCCTTGCGGCTTTGAGTAAACTCCCCCTGACACTCCCCCTGACACTCCCCCTGACACTCCCCCTGACACTCCCCCTGACACTTTGAGTGGGTTGTTACTTTCTGACACTCCCCCTGCCTCCTTCCGTTTCCCGACCTCCTAAAAAACCCTCTCCTCCAATCCAGCGGCGACACGTCAGCGCCGTCCGACGAGTTCCGCGGCGCAGACGGGCAAGTGTACCACTCGCACGACGGGCTCGCGCCGCACTCGCACGAGCCGCTCGACAGCGCGGGGAGCTTCCCGCTGCGCGCGCCGCCCATGGGGGGCCGCGACTTCTCGGAGCGCGCATTTACCGTTGGGATTGGCGGACCCGTGGGATCCGGGTAAGAGCGGGGGGGAGTTGGGGGAGGAGGGAAAGGAGAGATTGAAAAGGTGCAAGAGACGGAACAAGGAGGAATTTCTCTTTCTCTTTATTTCGTTCTCTTTTTGCCCCTATTTCCCTCGGAAAGACCGCCCTCATGCTCGCCCTGTGCCGCACCCTTCGAGACCAGTACAGCCTGGCGGCCGTCACCAACGCCATCTTCACTGAGGAGGACGGCGAGTTCCTCTGATGGCCTTCGCACCCTCTTTCCCCGATCCACACCCCCCCTCCTCCCTTTTCACAGCAAGACTGCGCTCATGCTGGCATTGTGCCGCACATTGAGGGAGCAGTACAGCCTGGCGGCCGTGACCAACGACATCTTCACCCAAGAAGACGGCGAGTTCCTGATCAAGCACGCCGCCCTCTCGCCGCCCGACCGCATCCGGGCGGTGGAGACGGGCGGCTGCCCGCATGCTGCTATTCGGGAGGACATCAGCATCAACCTGGGGCCACTGGAGGAGCTCTCGGTGCAATTCACAGCGGACATGCTTCTCTGTGAATCGGGAGGGGGTGAGTTACTTGTGTGTGTGGGCACGTGTACAAGCAGGAGGCGTAGATTCTTTCACTTGCTAAGAGCTGTCTCAGTGTGCCAAGCACGCCGCCCTCTCGCCGCCCGACCGCGTCCGGGCGGAGGAGTCGGGCGGCTGCCCGCACGCCGCTATTCGCGAGGACATCAGCACCAACCTGGGGCCACTGGAGGAGCTTTCAGCCCAGTTCACAGCAGATATGCTGCTGTGTGAATCAGGGGGAGGTGAGTGAGAGGAGGGATGGGGTACGTACGTCTATGTCTGTGCGCGCGCCTGTGGAAGAGCGGACATGAGCATCCATCTGGGGACGGAGGAAGAGCTTTCGGCGCCCTTCACCACGGCGAATCAGGGCGACCCGGGGAGAGGTGAGTGGAATGAGGGAGGCCTGCAAGGGAATGCATGGCTGTCTGCTACTGTCCGTGAGGCTCCTGTCTGCTACTGTCCGTGAGGCTCCTGCCTGCTACTGTCCGTGAGGCTCCTGCCTGCTACTGTCCGTGAGGCTCCTGCCTGCTACTGTCCGTGAGGCTCCTGCCTGCTACTGTCCGTGAGGCTCCTGCCTGCTACTGTCCGTGAGGCTCCTGCCCCCCATAACCCACCCTTTAGACAACCTAGCAGTAGATTTCAGTGGAAGCTCGCTGATTTCACCATCCGCATCATCGACGTGTCGGGTGACGATATTTGTCCCTCTCTCCGCCTTTCCCCTCTCTTCTCCCCTTCCCCTTCCTCTCCTTGCTCTTTCAGACAACCTGGCAGCAAACTTCAGCTGCGAGCTAGCAGACTACACCATCGACGTGTCGGGTGGCTAACACACCCCTCCTCTCTTGCGCTCTCGCCCCCCCTTTACCCCTTCCTTCCACGCAATCTAGCCGCTCATTTCAGCCTCAAGCTAGCAGACTGTATCATCTACAGCATTGACGTGTCGGGCGGTGATAAGATCTTCTTTCTTCCCCCATCTTCTTCCCCTCTCTCGAATCCCCAACTCCCCTCCTCACAGACAACTTCACTCGCAAGCTAGCAGACCAAATCTGCATCATCAATGTGTCGGGCGGCGATAAGATGCCCTTCTCTTTCCCCACCTTTCTCACTCCGTCTCCCCACAGACAATCTCGTGGCTAACTTATGTCGCGAGCGAGCAGACTACATCATCTACATCACTGACGTGCCGGGCTGCGATAAGATGCCAAACCCTCCCCACATTTCTCTCTCCATCTCTTTTGTGCCACTCTTTCCCCTCTCCGGACAACCTGGCAGCCAATTTCAGCCGTGAGCTATCAGACTGTATCACCTAGATAATCAACGTGTCTGGTGGCTAACACGTGCCCCTCCTCTTGAGCTCTCATTCCCCCCTCGTCTCCCCCCCTTCCCCCCCCTTGTCAACTCCATAGACAACCTGGCAGCCAATTTCAGCCGTGAGCTGGCAGACTATATCATCTACATAATCGACGTGTCGGGCGGCGATAAGATTCCAAGGAAGGGTGGGCCAGGGATTACCCAGGCGGACTTACTGGTAAGAGGTGGTGGGTGCATGGAGGCTGTGGTGGTGTGTTCTAGTCAACTCAAAACGCATGGGGAGGTGACCTGATGGTGAGTGTAGCGCGGGAGGGAATACTATTCCAAGGAAGGGCGGGCCTGGGAGGGAATAAGATCACCCGGGCGGATCTGCTGGTGACAGCTGAGGATGTGGGGTTGACTTGCTGGTGAGTGTAGGGTGGGTGACGATACGGTCAAGGTGGGCCAGGAATTCACCTAGGCGGACTTATTGGTAAGAGGTCGTTTTTGCATTCAGGATGTGGTGAGAGGTGGTGGGTGCATTGAGGGAGTGTCTTTTAGTCGACTCAAAAACATGTGACGGTGGCCTGCTGGTGACTGTAGTCTGCAGGTCGGATAGTGGAAAGATCCCAAGGAAGAGTGGGCTGGGAACCACCTAAGGAAACCTACTGGTGAGGGGTTGGGATGGGTCATTGAATTTGACAGTAAGGGAATTGAAGTGTAATTATCAGTAGGCCGTGGCTGCGGATAGGTGAGCTGGAAGCATGCATCGGCTGAGTTGCTAACAAGTATGATGCGGACGGTGGTGTGGTGGTGAGAGGGTACCGTTGAGTGAGAGTATGCGGTGCGGCGATGCTGATAAGTATGATGCGTACGGTGGTGCGGCGAGCGGGTACTAGTGAGTGTTGCGGGATGCGGGTTGAGAGCAAGGGGGTGTGGTTGTGCTGGGCTCACCACTGGGGGAGTTGACTCCAAGAGCTGGAGTGGACTGGAGTCAACTCCCCCATTGGGCCACCTTTTGAACGATAACTGAGCACCCTTTGAACGATAACTGAGCACCCTTTGAACGATAACTGAGCACCCTTTGAACGATAACTGAGCACCCTTTCTCTTGTTCCCCCCCCTTCCCCCCCCTCCCGCTCCCCCACTTTTCCTTGCCTCTCGTCCTGTTCTGTCCTCACTGCTCTGCGCATTTTGCCATGCTGACGTGTCATCACCAGGTGGTGAATAAGACTGACCTGGCGCCAGCAATCGGTGCTGACTTGGCGGTAATGGAGAGGGACGCCCTTCGCATGCGGGATGGAGGGCCGCTGGTCTTTGCACAGGTGGGTAGGGAGTGGGGGGCGGGGTTGGGGGAAATGGCACTGTTTCTGTGTGTGCGTTCTGTCCTTGTAACCTGGCGGTCGTGGAGAGAGATATGCTTCGCATGCGAGATGGCGGGCCTTTGGTGTTCGCACAGGTGGGTTGGGGTACTAGGAAGTGGGGGGGGAGGGGGGGTGGCTGTGAGTACACGCATGCGGGATGGGGTCCTCTGGTGTTCGCACAGATGGGTTGGGATAGAGGGGGTGTGTACAGGTGGGTTGTGTGTGTGCCCATGTGCCCATGTGCCCATGTGCCCATGCCCTCACATGCAGGTGAAGCACGGAGTGGGCGTGCCGGCCATTGTGGACCACGTGCTCACAGCATGGTGTGCTGCCACAGGCCAGCCCAGGAGGTGACAGGTTACAGTTGCAGTTACGGTTACGGTTATGGTTACAGTTACGGTTACCATCATGATGGCACATGGGGACAGGTTGTGGGGGGTGATGGGACAGGACAGGAGAGGATTGGTTATGGCACCACACCACACATCAGAACTGCAAGAGATTTAGAGTGATGTATGTATGATAATGTTGTTGGCTAACATAACGGCAATATACGTAACTGATGTGGAGAGGCTGTTAGAATACGTGAATGATTATTAGAAGTAGAAACCTAGAACATATACCTGTTGGGTTGTACTCACTAGAAGCACACACCTAGTCTAGCCTATAACTTTTACATAGAACATATGTATAAGTTGACACACCCCCTAGGCTAGATAAGGGGTGGTGCTAAGCAAGAAGCACACAGCTCAGGGTGGCACTACTAGTCCAACCACTGAGGCAGGGGTCCGGAGACCAGTCAGCAAGAGTACAAACAAGACTAAAGCAAGCCAGGGCGGCACTACTAGTCCAGCCACTGGAGGTAAGGCCACAATGTCAAACATGTATATTTGTCATGTTTGTATAGACTGTATAGGGTCACCTCTTAGAGGGTACAAGACTTAGGTATATCTGTGTGTACTCTCACTCTATCAAACACTTCTCTAATTCTGATATGGTATCACGCGTAGGTTAGGATCCCCCCCCCCAACCTACCGCTTCCGCTCGACCCCCTAGCTCGGCCCCGCCGTGCCCCCCTCCTAGCCCCGTCGTGCCCCTAGCCCCGTCGCGACCCCCCTAGCCCCGTCGCGCCCTTCCTAGGCCCCATCGCGCCCCTCCTGGGCCCCGTAGCGCCCCTCCTGGGCCCCGTCGCGCCCTTCCTGGGCCCTGTAGCGCCCCTCCTGGGCCCCGTCGCGCCCCTCTCAGGCCCCGTCGCGCCTCTCCTGGGCCCCGTAGCGCCCCTCCTGGGCCCCGTCGCGCCCCTCCTAGGCCCCGTAGCGCCCCTCCTGGGCCCCGTAGCGCTCCTCCTGGGCTCCGTCGCGCCCCTCCTGGGCCCCGTAGCGCCCCTCCTGGGCCCCGTCGCGCCCCTCCTGGGCCCCGTAGCGCCCCTCCTGGGTTCCGTCGCGCCCCTCCTGGGCCCCGTAGTGCCCCTCCTGGGCCCCGTCGCGCCCCTCCTGGGCCCCCTCCTAAGCCCTGTAGTGCCCCTCCTGGGCCCTGTACCGCCCTTCCTGGGCCCCGTAACGCCCCTCCTGAGCCCCGTAGCGCCCCTCCTGGGCCGCGTCGAGCCCCCTGCTAGGCCCCGTCACGCCTTCCGGCCCCGTCGCACCCGCCCGGCCCCGTCGACCCCTGCCCGGCCCCGTCGCAGCCGCCCGGCCCCGTCGCACCCGTCCGGCCCCGTCGCGCCCGCCCAGCCCCGGTGCGCCCCTCCTTGGCCCCGTCGTGCCCCTCCTGGGCCACCGTCCTGCTCGCCCGGCCCCGTCGCACCGGCCCGGCCCCGACGCACCGCCCGGCCCCGTCGCACCAGCCCGGCCCCGACGCACCCGCCCGGCCCCGTCGCACCGCCCGGCCCCGTCGCACCAGCCCGGCCCCGACGCACCCGCCCGGCCCCGTCGCACCAGCCCGGCCCCGTCGCGCCCGCCCGGCCCCGTCGCACCCACCCGGCCCCTGCGCTCGTCCCTGCCCCGGCCCCGGTCCTCCTCACTGGTACGGTTCCCCTCCCCCCCCCCCCGCCCTGCACTGCCCTGCACCGTACTGCCCCACACTGCACCGCCCCGCACCACCCTGTACTGCCTGGCACCGCACTGCACCGCACTACACCGCACCGTACCGCACGGCACCGCACTCCACCTTGCTGCACTGCCCTGCACCGCACTGCACTGTTCCTGATGGCGGCGGAGCTTCGCTTCGACGCTGAAGGCCAGCCTCTGGAGTTCGAGGCGTGGCTTGCCGACCTCCGCCGCCAACTCACTGGCCAGCGGCAGGATGGTGAACCGCTTTCCGCACACCTTGACGGTACGCTCCCTTGCCCAGACCCCCCTGCTATTTTGCCCGCTGACCCCACCCCCACTGAGCGCGAGTCTACTGCTGCCACTGCCCGTGCGCGCTCTGTCAGGCTTTCTCGCGATGCTGTTGCCCAGCTTGCCATTAGCAACGCCCTTCCCCCGTCCGAGCGCCCTCGCTTTAGGTCCCTCACCACTGCTCAGGCATACTTAGATGCTGTCATCTAGCGCTATTCCACCCCTCCGGCTGCCTCGGTGGGTCGCTTGATCCTCCCGATGCTCTTTCCTGATCTTGCATCTTTCCCTACTATCTCTGACCTTGCTGCCCACCTGCGCTCGATAGATGAGACCTGACGCGCTGCCTGCACTGACGCACAGCTTAGAGCCCACCAGCCGCCCATTACCTCTACCCTCTACCTGCTTGCCACCCGCCTCCCTGACCGCCTTGCTGTCGCCCGCGACCGCTTCCTTAGCATTCACCCCGCAGACCTCACCCTCACTGACTTTGTAGACACCCTGACTGTGATAGAGACCCGTCACCGCTCCATCACCCAGGCGAGCGGTGCCGTGCCGGTCCCTATCTTTCAGGGTTGTGCCCCCGCTCAGTGTACCTTCTCCGACGGCTCTGCCGCAGTGGCTGAGACTGCTGCTTCAGCACAGTTTCGTTCGGGGAAGGGCCGCCGCCCCAAGGTTGGGCGCGGCGGAGGCGGAGGCGGGGGTGCGGGAGGGGGTAGTGGTGGGGTCGGGTCGTCTGGTGCTGGAGCGGACGAGGGGACCCTGCCCAGTCCAGCTGAGCCGCCGCCCCTGCAGTTGCAGCAGCCGCAGCAGCCGCCGCAGTCACAGCCTTCGCAGCAGCCGCAGCAGCCGTCGCAGACACGGCAGACGAGTGTCCTCCCGCCCGGGTGGCCCGGCGCTGGCGGTGGCCGGGCGCGTGGTGGTGTGCCGAGTGGTGGCTCTGGCGGCGGGCGTTGTCAGTACCAGATCCAGACCGGTCCTCGCCGCGGCTTCGTTTGCGGTAAGATCTGTCACTCCACTCCCCGCTGTTTTCGTCGCCTGGACGACCTCTTTCGTCAGCGCTTCGGCCCGTCGACAGACCTCCCGGACTGGCACAGTTTGCTTGGTCGTAAGATTCAGATCTTTGATATGGACATGGATGCCATTGTTTCTGCTCTGCATGTGATGTATGCTGATGACTCTAGTGTGCTTCCAGCTTATTACTCACTGTTGCCTAGTGTAGGTGTGCCTAGCGTAGCCTCCCCTGCTGCGTCAGGCGTAGGATCCTCTGCTTTGTGTAGTCTTGGTGTTTCCGCCGTCGTTCCGTCGCCAGACGCCTCCGCTTCGCTTTCCTTCACCTTGGACTCTGGCGCTTCTCGGTGTTTCTTCCGCGACTCCACCACCCTGACGCCGTTTCCTGTTCTTGCTGCCGTTTCTCTTGCTGACCCCTCTGGTGGTCCGGTAGTCGCCCGCAGTTCCACCACCCTTCCCTGTCCGGCGGTTCCTTCGGGCTCTCTCACAGGTCTGCATATCCCCTCGTTCTCCAGGAACCTAGTTGGTGTCGGCTGCCTCCAGGATCTTGGCGTCACCACTACATTCCCTGGTCACGAGCGGTATGCTGTCTGTACCGAGGCCGCCACTGTTGCCCCCCTGTCCACGTTCCCCTGGGACCCGGTGTCCGGCCTGTTCACTCTGGACACCGTGACCCCCCCGGCTGGGGCGCCCCCTCAGGTGGCTGCGTCTACCCAGGTTGCTGCTGCCTGCTCCTGTCGTTCCCTCACTCACCCGACTCTCCTTTGGCACCACCGCCTAGGTCACCCTGCGCTCCCGCGTCTGCGTCACATGTCCCAGCACGGTCTTGTCCTTGGTCTCCCAGGTTCTCTCCCCGCGTTTCCCTCCTCCCCCGCCCCCCCTTGCACGCCTTGTGTCAAGGGTCGGCTTCGCCGTGCCCCTCACTCCTCCTCGTTTCCCCCTACCGCCGCGCCGCTGCAGACCCTGCACCTGGACGTCTGGGGCCCCGCCCCCGTCCCTGGGCCGCATCGAGAGCGCTACTTCCTTGTGCTTGTCGACGACTTCACTCGTTACACCACAGTCTTTCCCCTGGAGCGCAAGGCCGACGTGCTTGGCGCTCTCATCCTCTGGCTTGTCTCTGCGCGTGTCCACCGCGGTCTCCCTGTCTTGCGTCTTCACTCAGACCGTGGTGGCGAGTTTGCCTCAGGTGTCCTTGGTCGCTTTTGTCGTGCGGAGGGCATCACCCAGACGTTCACCCTACCGGACTCCCCACAGCAGAATGGGGTCGCTGAGCGACACATCGGTTTGGTCATGGAGGTGGCTCGCACCTCCATGATCCATGGTGGTACACCCCATTCTCTGTGGCCGTTCGCCGTTCGCTAGGCCGCTCACCAGCTTAACCTGTGGCCGCACCCCCAGCAGCCGCAGGTTTCGCCGACCCGTCTTTGGACTGGGTCTCCTGGTGACGCGTCTGCGTTCCACGTCTGGGGCTGCCTTACTCACGTCCGTGCCTCCGGCACGGACAAGCCCACTGCCCGCACCCGTCCCTGTGTCTTCCTCGGTTTCCCCCTTGACGCGTCCGACTGGCACTTTTACCACCCGCCGCCTCACCGCTTCTTTCACTCTCGTGACGTCACCTTTGACAAGTCCGTCTCCTACTACCGCCGCTTCCCCCACCGTGGTCCCCCGGTTACTCCCCCCCTGTTCCTGGTCACTCCTTCCCCGGTAGTCCCTGCCCCTCCTCCTCCTCCTCCCCGTTCCGCCCCCTCTGGTGTGTCCCACGTCACCCCCCTTCCGTCGGAGGACCCGGTTGAGGAGTCTTCTGACTCTGGTGGCCCTCCTGTGCAGTCCTCGCCGGCCGCCCCTTCCCCGGCGTCCCCTCCCCAGTCCCCTCCTCCACCGTCTCTGCCGCCGCTGCAGCCGTCGTTGTCGCTGCCGCCGCCGCCGCCGCCGTCGCAGCCCCCGTTCGCTGCCTTTGGGGGTGCTCGTCCCGGTTGCCCTGGGGGTGGCCCCTCTGGGGGTGCTGGTGTGGAGAGTGCCGGTGGTAGCCGAGGAGCAGCTTGCGGTCCAGGTGTCGCCGTTGTGCCGTCGCAGCAGCAGTCCCCGCCGGTGTCAGCCCTTCGCCTGCTCGGCCTTTCGTCCCCCGACCCTACGTCTGTTCCTCCCCGACCGTCTCCTCCTCTTCCTGTCTACGGCCCTGTTTTCCCTCCGCCGGACTCGTCCCCGGCCTGTCTCCCCCCTCGTTCCCCTCCTGTGTCCCCTCCCCTGTCCCCTGACCCGACTCCTCCGTCGCACGTCTGGTCTCACCG